GTCTCAATAATTCAAACTGTGGTGAAGTCGAGCAGACTGCCTCAACTCCTACTGTCTCAACTCCAATGACTGCCAATTACTCTCCCGAAGAAATACAGTCTGATCCAAATCCGGTTCCTGTAACTTCCTCACAGGCCACAGAGGATGATAAGCACCTCCCAGATATCCCTGAGAACTCTGAGGAAGTTATATCCAATGTTATAACCCCATCTGATTGCTATAGCGATGCATGTAATGCTGCTGATGCACAGTATCAAATTGTAGAAGTACCGGCTGCAGAGGTTAGATGGGCTAACTGTAACTGATTTTCAATCTATTATTTTGTTCCTTTCCTTTATGTTTTATTTGTATGATCCCTTTATTAATTTAAAGTCTCTGATGTTAACTACTTCAGGAGGACCCGCCGTTGAACTTTGACATATTTGATGACCCGCCATTGGAGCCATTGGATGATAAATTATTCTCCCCAGTCCATGCACATTTTCCACCAGAATTTTACCATCAAGCCAACAATGAATTATTTCAATATGGTACAAATAAGACTGATATTTCAGATTTTTTCGACTCAGCTGTTAATTGGGACGATCTCTGTGACTCAATCTATCTTGAAGATGAGAACAATGGGCTGTGCAGTGTTTCAGATGTGGAAATGGCCAATATGACGGTTAGTAGCAGCTCTGATCCTTCTCATTCTAACCCTTTTCCTGTTAAAGTTCTTAAACTGATTGCCCTCTCTAAATGACACCTGAAAGCACAAACTTTAATGTATATATATGTATGAGTATGTTAAGCTCGGTTTGCTTATGCCATATATTAATGTTAATCTGATTGTATGCTGCAGCATCTGCAGGCATCACATGCTTATCCCGAGGGGGCTATTCTGCAAAATAGCAATGTAGGATTGTTTCAGAACAATTCACAGATGACATTTTCAACCGATTTTAGTATGGGCCAAACACCTTATGTGACTAATAACTATAACCAATCAGGGAATTTGGACGCCGTTGTCCATGGTGACAACACTGGAATCCGGATAAGGACTCGACAAGAACAAAACGAACAGCCAAACATGAACCCTGTGATGCAAGCACAAGGTAGTGCTCCAAGGAGAATACGATTGGGAGGGTTTGTGAGACAATCCCTTGGTTCCGAGGTGACGACACATTCCCTTGGTTCTGAGGAGACGACAAAAGATGAGAGTTGTACACCAGAATATGAGCAATCAAGGAATTTGGATCCTGTTGTCAATGGTGACACTGGTATCAGGATAAGATCTCGACAAGGAAGAAATGAACATCCAAACATGAATCCAGTGATGCAAGCACAAGGTAGTGCACCAAGGAGAATACGATTGGGAGGATTTGTGACGCGTTCCCTTGGTTCCGAGGAGATGACAAAAGATGAGAGCTGTACACCCGAAAACCATAACTCAAAAACCATCATTGCCAGCGAATCATCCATTTCGCAGGAGAGGGAAGCATCAGAAAACCTTGCTACTGTTGCGAGTATTTCCGATACTAACGATGTAGATGAACCAGAGAAGACATCTCCGACAGCCGACACATCAAAGCCATCCTCGCATCGATCAACGTGGTTTTCTGTTCTTGCAGTATCTGCAGGTGTACTGGTCTCATCAGTATTGCTTATGAATATTTGGGGATATCTTAGATTTGAAACTGCTCATTAGCTGATAATTCCTTTGTGTATAATTTGCCTCATTGTTTTTTTGTGTGTGGCACAGTTAAGGAAGTGTGTAGGGTTGGCTTTTCCTATATTTGTCCATAAAGTAATATAATACTTAGTGTGTGCACTTGTCACCGCAGTGTAGTAGAGTAGTAAAATTAATACAATTATTGATGCTCTTATCCTTTGACTTATTCTACTTATTTTGGATGTGAAAACTAGCACTACTTTAATACTCTTTCGTTGTCACTGCTTTCAGAACCGACAACAAGCTTCATAGCAACATTAAATTGTTTTTAGTAACGAGGTTAATGTAGTTGGTGCTGGCGTTAATTGTTTTTAGTTGGTAAATGAGCTACTAATGTAATTGGTGAAGATACTGATGATTGGAATTTAATGGGTCATGTTGCTAATCTATCATTCCATTTATTATTTTCATGCCCAAATAATAAGATTGTATTAGGAAAATAAACATAAAAGGGGATTCTCAAATACATTCATGGAATTTTTTTATGGATTTTGTACTTGTTAAAAAATACAAATGGAATTTTTTTATGAATTTTGTACTTGTTAAAAAATACAAATGAGGGTAACATAGCCGGCTGTTTGTAAGGGTGTCAGGAGTGGAATGGAAAGAAACAAAACATATTTTTGTAAGGGTGTCGTGAGTGGAATTGAAAGGAACAAAACATATTTGTTATTATATTCTTGCAATTCTATTTTCTGCCTTATCCTTTCTCCAGGACACTAAACACAAGTACATTCAATAGTAAATTGTATATAAATTGAAATACAACCAATGATGTCCGAGTTAAAGATTTCAAGGGTGCTGTCAGAGATGATTTGCATGTCCGACTAAAGCAATCAAATCTTCTTAGCATTGAACGCGCCTTTAAATTCTAGGGGTGTTGTTGGAGACGCTTTGCACGTTTGACCAAAGCAATCAAATTCTCTCTACGCCGAGCGTGCCTTTGAAGGTCAGGAGTGCTGTCGGAGACGCTTTGCACGTCCAACTACAACAATCAATTCTCCACATTGTCTCACGTGCCTTTAGAATTCAGGGGAGCTGTTAGAGACGTTTTGCATGTTCAACTACAACAACCAATTCTTCCAAGGGTACTTTCAGAGACGCTTTGCAAGTTCGAATACAACATTCAAATACCTTCTGTCAAAGACCTACACGCTTTACGTGCCTTTAGAATTCAGGGGAGATGTCAGAGACGCTTTGTACGTTCGACTACAACAACTGATTCCTCCAATGGTGCTTTCGGAGACACTTTGTAAGTTCGAATACAACATTCAAATACCTCCTGTCAAAGACCTACACGCAATCCTACGTAGCTAGCGCATCACTTTTTTTGGTTCTAGCCAATCCAAGGGACGTGAGTATAGAAGCATGAAGGTGTCAACCTCGAACGGAGCTAGCACCTCGAGTAGAGGGACATGGATCCTCTATCCTTGACCAGGGAATAATCCTCTATGACGCAGAGTACCATTCAAAAAACATGGCCGCATCTAGCCAGTTTCATGTCCCTCGTCTGTAAGTATGATTCAAAGCATAACCACATTTAACCAGACTCATGCTTTATTTCTATATGTATGATCCAAAGCATAGCCACACCTAGCCAGTTTCATGCTAAATCATTATCGGTGCAGCTTAAAGTGTAAACACTCAAAGTTAAGCTCATATCTCACTTACATAAATCCAACTGACGGACGAGTCAAACATAACCAATGTTTTGCTTACGTAAGTACGTTCGAATTACAGCCGCATCAGACAGTCTTAACATCTCGCCTAGACACTACGTACATCTTAACACGACACGCTCACAAACAAAGCAGTCACACATGTCTTTGCGAAAGACTTGAGGTTATTTACACTTTAAGAAAATATTATTTATTGCTCTTTATAGCAAAAAAAATTGTGCAAACAGCAGGGCTAGAAAGAAAGCCCTAGCCCTCCTTAGATCTCAGTCGGCTAGAAACAACGGTTGAAAGAGGGCAATACAAAACCAAAAAACACACAAAGATGAAAAAGTTAACGATATGAATAGATATTAATATTTTTTACAAACCGATACTCGAAGGCTGGACAAATTTTCTACAAGAACAAATAAAATCAAAAAGAAAAAAATCAAAAAGGTTTTTGAGGCTAGTATATTGTTATTGGTTCTTGAGGCCCTATTTATTCACCTTATTTTTTGTGATTTTAACCAAAATTTCCTCTTAGTTAAACCACTTGATGCATGACCGTAGAAGTTCATCCTTTTTCTTCCTTATTAAGCTCGGGCTTTCCACAGATTTTGGTTGTGCATGCAACACCGTAAAATGAGAGGTGAACTGTTTGTGCAATTCCCCTATGTGTCGATGAATTCATTTCTCAAACCATGAAACCATGACATGGTGTCAACCTTGAAGGTAAGAACGAACAACTTATACTTCTTCGTTACTCTTTCCCCCTCTAAAGTTTATGAGGACATCTATGAGTTCCACATGTTCATCTAGATCTATTATTTTGTCGTATGTCCCCATCCTCAATGGTTTCAAGAACTCTTTGAGAATTTCGTACTCATTTATCCTTTAAAAGAAGGCATTGATGAAAGTAGTGCCTATATCTCCTTCAGAACTATCGAATGAAGAGAAGGGTGAGGTATGTAGACAACGATGATGATGATAATGCATAGGGCGGTACCCGTAGATCCAAATATGAAGAGAGAGTGCCTTAGGTGTGTCATAGAGCATGTTTTGTGCTTCATATGGTCGGTGATGGTGAGATTATTCATCTCGGTCGTGATATGTTAGTTTTTGGCAAAATACCCAAATTGGTCCCTTAACTTTACCTTGGGGTTCAATTTGGTCCCTTAATTTTAAAAAGGTCCAAAGTGATCCCTTAAATTTTTAAATGGTGCCATGTTAGTCCTTACCGTCAACACTGTTAGTCAAAGTCAATGAGTTTGTACAGTTGACACACACGTGGGACTGATGTGTTAGCAGTCATGCCATGTGGAATTTGAATGCCTAAAAAAGAAATGGGAATTGAAACGAAGCCATTGTTCAGAAGTAGGAAATGAAGTAAAGGAAGTGGAACCCTAGCGTAGTCATTATTGTATGTTGAAGGTGATTCTGCTGCGATTTGAAGCAATCTCTACTCTTCAAGTTAATATCAAAGACAACCAAGTATGGCTTCTAGTGATTGAAGTGAAAAAATTTCTATGTTGTTCGTTTTAGGGTTTTTATAGTTTTAGGGTTTCCATCTTCGTATCTGAAATCTTGCTTTTTTTCTGCGCTTCTTTTTAGAACATAGGACATAGTTTGATATGGCTGAGTATTTGAACTTAAAAATCCACCACAATGGTGAATTTGTTGATGACGAAATGAGTGTGTACGAAGGGGGTCAGGTTGCCGAGTTGAAAATAGATGTTGATAGATGGAGTTACTTTGAACTGTTAGGTTGTTTTAAGGATTTAAGATACAATTTGATTGAGAAGGTATATTATCGAGATCCAACCTTTAGGATGAACTTGTTGGTTAATGACAAATGTGCTCTAGAGATTACTTATCTCTATAGGGTGCATCTTAATGTTGACATTTATATTCAACACACATTGTCACAGCCTGATTACTATGACGGTCCTGTTGATGAAATAGTTGTAGAGCAAAATGAAATTGTGGATGAGACTGAACAAGTCATCGCTGCAATGTATGAGGAAGCAGTTAATGGGGGTTTGAAGGAAACTGAGCTGATGGAAGGTGATGGTAGTGGTAAGAATGGTGCAAGGGAAAATGATGTTATGGAAAATGATGTTTTGGAAAATGTTGTTAGGGAAAATGTTATTAGTGAAAATGCTGTTATGGAAACTGATGGAAATGTTAACAACGAACAAGGTGGTAGTGAGGTCAATGATGTATTTAGTTCTGATGATAGTGAGGATGAAAGCTTCATCTATGACAGTGCAATGAAGGTAGCATTTGATGATTAATTAGATGAGTATAATGATGATTTGGATGAGGAACAAGGGGATAATTTAGTTGATTATGTGAATGAAGATGATGATCAAGAGGGGAACATAAAAAAAGGTAAAGAAAAGTGGGAGGAAAACACAATTGAGTTTAAAGGTAGTGATAATGAAAATGAGGATTTACAAAGTGGGTGTGATAGTGATGATAGTAGTGGAGTGAGGAGAAAAAAGTACCCCATGTTCAAGTTACAAAAAGACATGTCCAATTACAAATGGGAGGTTGAAGTGTACTTTATTACCAAAGTTGATTTCAAGGAAGTTATAACCTTATATGCAGTCCAATCTGGAAGGAACCTGAAGTTCACTAAAAATGACAAGGCTAGAGTGAGGGTTAGGTGTAAGGATGGATGTGAATGGGAAGCTACCACACCCTGTTTTTTGACCCTAAGACCTTACTTTTCTTTGTGCATCATCTTGTATGTCTGTGTAGGTGCAGTAAATTCAAATGGAGACAGTACTCACTCTCACGGTCAAGCATTTCAAAGCATAAACCTTTGGAAAAAAAGCCCTAAAGTTTTCTACTGGTTTGAATCTCTGGTTTCATCAAAAGATAAATTCAACCGGTTCTATCATGAGACTAGGGTATTCCTCGAGAGGTGGATCTCGCGTTAAAGTCATCATGATCTAAGGGATTGTTCGAAGTCTCATTAAAACCATGATGTTTCATAAGGGAATTGATTTGTGTTTAAATTGAATTAAAGGCTAACCGGTCGTGGAGGCTCAAATTTTATGTCAAAGATGGAAGATTGTTCATATGGTTTTTTCTTGAAAAAAGATTAAGTAACAAATGAACTTGTCCATACCCGTAAACCGATTCTAAAATCCTTTTTCCATAATCATTCTCCGTCTAACTTGTCCATGAACCTAAAAAGTCCCATACTTTTCTTATATTTCAAGCTTATTATTCCAAATTTTCATCTGAGTTCAAATCCATCCTATTCAAGTTAAGTGCAAAGTTCGAGATACAAAATTCTTAGGTAATTTTCAAATTCAAGATATAGAGTTCAAAAGGGTCCTTACAAAGTTCAGGAGGCAAATCTCTTGCAAATTCAAGATCATTTTCCCAAATGCAAAGACTCCACATGTTCTAGGCTCACCTCAAAGTACAAGGCAAATCTTTAAGAAGTTTAAATCTTGAAAGCATACAAAGTCTGATTCAAGGTAATCAGGATTCACATTACTCAATATCTGTTCTAAAAAACACAAGATACATTCCTAAATCCAGGTTAAGTCAAGAGTTCAAGTTTACAAAGGGGAAGATGTACAAAAGATGATTAAAAATGCCAAAAATTTAAGAATATACAAAGTACAAATCATGAACCAATTCAATGAGGAGGAGCTAATTTCCACGGCTCCGTGTTTGTTATAGACTTGCACATAAACCCAAATTAATGCCCTATTTTCACTTTACATCCTCAGTCCAAAACCCTTTGAGATAGATGCTTTGGTGGCTCAAGAAAACACAAGGCTTCGAAAACAGAGCGTCCCTGCATAAAGTGATATACATGGATGAGACTTGATGGTATAGTTCAATAAAGCATGTGATCAGAAGGGTACTGTCACTTACTGCCAAATAATAAAAACAACGCTGCAACATGTTAAGCCAAAAAGGGAAAATCGAAAACAACACCTGCAACTCATTTAGTTCATATTTCTGGATTAAATTCAAAACATATTAATGAACCAAGAAGTTTTCATGACCAATGAACGTAAACTCAGAATTGTCCTCACCAGACGGGAGCTGGGGTTAAGAGGAAGGAGAGCGCATGCGTTGGACCATTTCATAGCTTTTTCTGTTCCTTTTTTTATATTTCACTTTTATTTATCATTGTTGCTTTTTCGGACCCTGGGGCATTTGGGCCAGGCCGTCTTTTAATTTTTTTTTTGCTAAATAACCCTCTTTGAATTTCTAACGAGTATTTTTTTTTGCTTGTTGTTTTCTTATTTTTTTTATTTTCTTTTTATTTTAAAGTTTAGATATTAGTTTTGATAGTAAAATGCAGGGGTTAGGTTTCAAATCTAGATCTTAAGTTGGGTCAGAGTTCTAATCGCGGTTTTAATTCAATTTGGTATAGTATATCTCGTTTAGAGTTAGAATGTCTATCGTAAATGATCTTTGACCGTTCAATCTTGGTATTGAATCTTAGAGGACTTGAAGACGATTTTTGGCCATAGTATGGTTTAATCCTAACATTAATCTTGTTAAAATGTACGTGATTTATATTATGTTTCCTTTTAGCCAAATTCTTGCCCACTCCATTTAATCATCCCCTTTAAGCTCCTTGATTTCGTTATTCTTGATGTATACGCCCATTGCTATTATCTGTCCCCCTTATAATAATATAGTTTACACATCCAAGAAAAAACTTGTATATAACTTTTTCTAAGTTGTATACAATATGTTTTTCATTTGCATCATTGTCCCCCGCTTGATCCCTGACATTTCAGGTCGATCAGCTTAGGTCTCCCTTATGCCTTAGGGTAGATGCCCTTAAGCTTTCAACATTAGATAAGATTCAATTCAATCCTCTATTCTCCCCACAAGAGAAGTAGACGTGGTTCATCTGCGAAGTCGAGGTGTAATTCTCCTACCCCATAATATAATCGCGAGATGTAGAATCTTTTTCATTTGAGAGAGGTGCGTGGCATATTCGTCGATAAAAAATCCGAATTGGAGCCATTCTCTTAATACGATGCAAATAACGTCTTTGATACATTTGTGGAGGTTAGGTCGAGTATTCTCCCCAAGATGACGACTCATTTCTTCTCCTAGAATCAATCAAACTTTTCCCCTGGAACTTTGACCATAACTAATGGTTCCTCAATCCCTTTAGAGGAACTACAAATACTCTGATCCCACTCCCGTCAAGATACGTAGGCACAAGATGCGATTTCTTGGCGAGTATACTTAGAAATAAACCCCTAGTTCTCCTTAAGAAACAATAATAAAACATTAAAACAAGAGGTTTTTGTAGAGTACTACAAATGCTTAGGATGCTAATACCTTCCCTAAGTTTAACCGACCCCCTGACCTTAGACTCTCTAGCTTTGCATTTGCATTGTATAATTATCGGTAATTCGATCTTTTTCCTTTCCTTGGACAAATTAAAGACCGGTGGTGAACATGATTTGTGATTCAAGTTAATCAATAGCTTGATATCCAATTATCATCGTGACAGAAGCTTATTGTGCTAAGCTACCTAATGAGGATTCTTGGCAACTAAGGAAGATAATAGATAATCATAGTTGCAGTAGGGAGTACAATGTGAAGATGATGAGTGTCAAATGGTTAAGAAAAAGGCTACAAAATTCATTGAAAACCAACCCTAAATTGAAGCTTAAGGACATAAAGGAAAAATCATAAAAGAAGTGGAATGTAGGGGTCAATAAGACTAAGGTCATAAGAGCTAGATTTGCTGTTAGAGACATGGTTGATGGTTCTTTTCTAGGGGATTATACAAGGATTTATGACTACTGCAATGAGTTATTGAGATCAAATCCAGGATCTATTATGAAATTGAATGTCCAACCTGCACAAGAGGGTATTGATGATTAAAGACCCCATTTTAGAAGGCTATACATTTGCTTTTCAACTTGTAAGGAAAGCTTCAAATTATGCAGACATTTCAATGGCATTGATGGATGTTTTTTTTGAAAGGGCTATGTGGATGTCAAATATTAGCAGCCATAAGTATAGATCCAAATGATCAAATGCTACCAATAGCATTTACAATAGTTGAAAGTGAAAATAAGGATAGTTGGACATGGTTCTTGGAGCTACTTATTGATGACCTTGGCGGGAGAGAAAAGTGTCTTATATACACTTTTATATCTGATCAACCAAAGGTATACTTATGTTATTTCAGTTATGCTTAGTTTCATTACTTGTTATGCTTATGTTCTTACTTATTATGCTTATGCTTATGTTTTAAAAATAGTTGCATTGGGATTATTACCTGCCATGGATGAACTGCTACCTAGAGTTAAGCAAGGATTTTATGTCAGACATCTCTATAACAATTTCAGGAAAAGATATACTAGCAAGATGTTAAAGTAAATCATTTGGAAGGCAGCAAAGTCAAAATACTACCAAGCCTGGGAAAGAGAGATCAAAGGAATGAAGGATGTTAATGTAGATGCCTACAAGAACATGATGAGCACCCCACCTAGATTCTGGAGTAGATCATATTTCAAGACACATAACAAATGTGATGTTGTTCTAAATAACATGTATGAGGCATTTAATAGTGTAATCCTGGATTCTAGATCCAAGCCACTGATAACCATGGTGGAAGAAATAAGGACATACATGATGGAGAGATGGGAAACAAATAGGTTGAGATTTCAGAACATGGCAAATGTTGAAGTGTTACTAAACATAAGAAGGGAAATTGAAAAAACCAGCTCAAACACAAACCTATGGCTTATCAAGTAAGATACATAAACTTAACAAAACTTTAATACTATGTCTGATGAAGTGTTTCAAACAACTATGTCTGATGATAATATGTTCATGTTTTAGGATGTATGATAAGCATATCTTTGAGGTTAGGCACCTTGAAAACTAAGCTGACAAGTTTTCAGTAGACTTGAAGGAGCATAGTTGTTCATGCAAAAGATGGAAACTGGTAGGCCTACCTTGTGTTCATGCACTGTCAACTATGAAGAGTGGGAACCATAAAATTTATGACTACATTCCAAATTATTACATAAAGGCAATGTATGGAAGTGTATAAACATGTTATTTTTCTAGTTAATGGCTTTAATCTTTGGGTTAAGACTGAGTATCCAGATGTGTTGCCACCCAAATATAGGAAGATGCATGGAAGGCCAACAAAGAGAAGGAATATAGAGCAGGGCGAGATTGATGGTTCAGACAAAAAATGAGAAGGACTGGTTTCAATGTTAGATGTAGCAGATGTAAGAAACCAGGTCACAACAAGCTTACTTGCAAGGTGACA